CGCTGGCACAGCCATGGCCGAAGTGATTGCACCGTTGATATCTACAATAACAGACGCCATCAGCTAGATGTCTTTACGTATGCGCTCGTGATAGGGATCGCCACTGACCAGGATAAGAATATCTAATGTTGCCCTGATCCACGCCCACCGCGTACAATTTGCCGCTCTGATCAGCGACAAAGATCTCCCTCGTCAAGTCCGCATGCCGGTCGATCTGTGCACGTCCGTCTGTCTGCACCGCATCTTGCCCTTTCGTTTCTTTCAGCTCGGCATCGGCGCATTGGTTGGGCAAGCCCAGATCTGCCGAGCCAGCGACAATCAGCCGGACGGCGCCCTGTCCTGAAGGAATGACCCGCACTTCTTTGTGCGCCTTTCGAGCTCCACCTCGAGTGTTGTAGAAGCGAAGCAGACCGTCCCTCGTGCCAGCGACGAATTGCGTGGGTGCTGAAGAGGGCTGATCGTCCGAGTCCAAAGTGGCAGCGCCATCGGTCGACTTGGACAAGACACACACGCTAGTGATGCGCGGATGTTGAGGTAGCGAGAGGGCGTCGTTAGGGAGCTGTGGAATGTTGTAAAGACGCAAGTTAGCCGATCCCGCGCCGCAAAGATGATCATCGCTAATCGAAACGCGCTAAAGTCTCCCCTGGGCAGACTCACCGGCTTGGCTCGCCAAAGTTCTCCGGGCAACAATTCTCTTGCTTTCGCTCTGTTTTCCGCTTGCCTCTTCCTCTTGCGTTCCTTTGCGCTCAAGCCACTTTCCTGCGCATTTCCATTCCGTTCCGTCTCGACGAGGGAGGTGTCCGATTCGGCAGTGGGCTCGAACGCCGCCTTGAGGTCCCACAGGGACAATGCTTGTTGTTCGCCGCCCATGAGCAAGTGGGTAGGCTCATGCACCGGATAGAAGGTGGCGCTTTGGAGAGGTGCGGGAAGGTCTAGAGTTGTGGACTCTCCCAGCGACCATGCCCCTTGAGCAATCGCATTGTCAGAGCTGCTTTGGATTTCCCTTTCGCTGAAATCATCCTGAACGACTGCGGTGCTGGGAGCTAGAAGCAGCTCGGTGCGTCGTAATGATCCAGCAGAGGTGATGCTATAGATGTGACGCTGAGAGTAGGAGAGCGCAAGCCAGCGCTCCATGCCTGCTCTCATGCGATCTTCTTTGATCGTCGCCACTACGTGAGCTTCCTCTGCGTCTGCATGTGCAAGATCCTCTTGTCCTTGCCCCGCATTCGCACTGCTGCCTGATTCCGCATCCTTCGGCTCTTCTTGACCGTCTGATTTGCGCAGAGCGCTCGAGAGGTGTACAATGTCTATCGTCCCGTCACGTCGTGCGAGCGCCAACTATTAGAGATGCAGAGCGTACAGGCTCAGTTAGATGCTCGGCGCCACCACGACAGGGAGAGCAGCAGCGTGCGCCATGCGCAACAGGTTGATGCGTGACTCACCAACTTGTGACCTCGCACATGTCCCAACGCCATGCGTTGAATGGCTCTCTGGGGCGATGCGTGTCCCTGACAGTTTCGGATTTTCATCGTCTTGGGAAGGCTGGCCGTAGCCTGAGCCTGATCTTGCGACTGAGCCGCCGATTGGGCAGCTTTGGACTTGGCATCCGATTTGAGGGCTGTGGATGTGTACGTCGGTTTGAGAGCGGCAAGACGGACAGAGAGGACTTGAGTGGGTGTGCAAAGGTAGAATTTGTAGGATGTGAGAGGAGAGAGTGTGTGAGAGGCGCTACTGCCATTAGCGTTACTACCGCTGCTGCTGCTGGAAGCTTGAGCCGCACCACTGCTTGTTGAAGGCAAGGGCGGATCTGCGTCCATCATTTCCAATGCGCTGCGAGTGGAGTGAGTGTGTTTGAAAGCCGCGGTCGAGGCGGCAAGGCTACTGCGACGGATAGTGGTAGCGAGCGGCAAGGTAGATGACTGAGGAGTGTAGTGCGAGTGGAAGGGAAGGAATGAATGCATGCATGCATGCCCCAGTCGTGAAGCCTGGAGAGTGAAGCCAAGAAGAAGCAGCACCCCACACACATGCTTGTCACGGGCTGACGCTTGCGTGCCCCCTCATCAGCAGCTGCTGCTGTTTGCTAACACATCGCAGAGGTGTTGCGCACGCACGGCACGGCACGCCTTTGCCCAAAAAA